ATCAAAACAAAACAAACAAAAAAATAAAGTAAGCCAAAAGAATCCAAACCCCTATCCCACCACTATGATACCCTTAAAAAAAAGGGGATATTGGAAATTGGCCATTTGATTTCTTTTCTTTTTCTTTTTTCTTTTGAGACAGAGTTTTGCTCCGTCACCCAGTTTGGATTGCAGTGGTACCATGTGTGCTCACTGACACCTCTACTTCCTAGATTCAAGCAAGCCCGTCCTTCTAATTTTTGTATTTTTAGTAGAGATAGGGTTTCACCACATTGGCAAGGCTGGTCTTGAACTCCTGACCTCAAGTGGTCTGCCTGCCTCAGCCTCCTACCACACCTGGCATTTTTTTTTTTTTTTTTGAGATGGAGTCTCACTCTGTTGCCCTGGCTAGAGCGCAGTGGTGGGGTAATCTCTGCTCACTGCAACCTCTGCCTCCTAGATTCAAGCAATTCTGCCTCAGCCTCCCAAGTAGCTGGGACTACAGGTGTGTACCACCAAGCCTGGCTAACTTTTGTATTTTTAGTAGAGGTGAAGTTTTGCCCTGTTGGCCAGGCTGGTCCCGAACTCCTGACCTCAGGTGACCTGCCCATCTCAGCCTTTCAAAATCCTGGGATTACAGGCGAGAAGCATATGCCCAATGGCCATTCTGTTATTTTGCAATGTTAAGGTCATTAATGTATGACTTAGAAGAGGAGTGTGTGGAAGTAGGATGTGAAAGCCTAATTAGAGAATAGTCAAGAGAGAATGAGGTGACTTGCATTGGAACGAGGTGGGAGGGCGGGGAAGAGAGAGAGAATGAGGGGACAAAAATCACCAACAGGCCCTGAACCAATGCAGAGAACTCTTTAGAGGAATGTCAGAAATTTCCTTACACTTATATCACATTCTGTAAAAGAGAATGATGAGTGGCAGGAATGGAAAGATGTGGATTTTAAGAGAAATTTTTTTTCTAACAAAAGAAAATTTTTGGCTTTGTGTGGTAGCTCAGGCCTATAATCCCAGCAGTTTGGGATCTCGAGGCAGAGGGATCACTTGAGCTCAGGATTTCAGGAGAAACAACCGTACAGTGAACTACCATGCCATCTCCCCTGCCATCTCTTAAAAATGAATATTTTCTTTTCTTTGAGAGGGAGTCTTGCTCTTGTCACCCAGGTTGGAGTGCAATGGCACGAGCTCAGCTCGCTGCAACCTCTGCCTCCCGGGTTCAATGTAATCTCCTGCCTCAGCCTCCTGAGTAGCTGGGATTACAGGCACCTGCTACAATGCCTGGCTAATTTTTGGATTTTCAGTAAGGAAGGGGTTTCGCCATGTTGGCCAGGCTGGTCTTGAACTCCTGACCTCGTGATCCACCTGCCTTGGCCTCCCTAAGTGCTGGGATTACAGGCGTGAGCCCCAGTGCCCGGCCTAATTTCAGCACTTTGGGAGGCCGAGTCGGGCAGATGACCTGAGGTTAGAAGTTGGAGACCAGCCTGACCAACATGGAGAAACCAGGTCTCTACTAAAAATACAAAATTAGCTGGGTGTGGTGGCACGTGCCTGTAATTCCAGCTATTTGGGAAGCTGAGGCAGGAGAATTGCTTGAACCAGGGAGGCAGAGGTTGCGGTGAGCTGGTACCTCCCCATTGCACTCCAGCCTGGGCAACAAGAGCAAAAGTCTGTCTCAACACACCCCCCAAACACACACACACACACTGCCATTGCAGTTATCAGATTTGCATGGTATCACAGTGCCTGTGTTCAAGGAACCCTTATTTTATGAAATAGCCCCAAAATGCAAGAATAGTGGTGTTGGTAATTCAGATATTCCTTTTTTGTTGTTGTTGACCAGGCTGGAGGGCAATGGTGCGATCTTGGCTCACTGCAACCTCCACCTCCCGGGTTCAAGCGATGACAGGGGTGTGCCACCACGCCCAGTTTAGGTTTTTGCTTTTGGTCTTATTAGTAGAGATAGGGTTTCACCATGTTGGCCAGATGGTCTCGATCTCTTGACCTCGTGATCTGCCCACCTCAATCTCCCAAAGTGCTGGGATTACAGGCGTGAGCCACCACGCCCGGCTAGAAAGTGTTTCTTGTAAAATATAAGGAAGTAGAAGGAATATATTGCCTTCCGGAGATGGCCCGTTTCCAATGTTATTGGGTACGCCTATAAACTTTTTCACATTACAGCCAGTGACAGAAAAAACACGTACTGCCTTATTTTTCACTGTACTCAAAACACATACAGGCACACACTCACATACACATGCCACCATTTAACATACCACCATTTAACATGTATTACCAAATTTACAAATATAGACATTAGCTTTTTATTGATTGTGGCACAGAGTTAATAATTTTGTCCTTTTTGTTCCTTCAATGCTAAATATATCTGATTGTCTTTCCTCTCTAGGTATTGGCAGAAGCTCATATGATTTTCAGAAGGAATTAGGACAATATCAACTTTTTTTTTTTTTTGAGATGAAGTTTCGCTCTTGATGCCCCAGGCTAGAGTACAATGGCATGATCTCGGCTCACTGCAACCTTCACCTCCCAGGTTCAAGCGATTCTCCTGCCTCAGCCTCCCAAGTAGCTGGGATTATAGGCATGTGCCACCATGCCCAGCTGATTTTGTATTTTTAGTAGAGACCAAGTTTTACCATGTTGGCCAGGCTGGTCTTGAACTCCTGACCTCAGATAATCAGCCCGCCTCAGTCTCTGAAAGTGCTGGGATTATAGGTGTCAGCCACCGCGCCCGGCCTCATTTGATCATTGTTAAGCAAAATATGGTTCACCCAGTTATCAATTACAGGAGAGCAGAACACTAAACACTGGTTCCCATCACCCAGGGGATGTCTCCCACCACATGGAAGACTGCAAAGATCATCACTGTGCCAACCGACAGGAATAGAAGTCCAAATGCTTCCAGCCCATGTACCTTGGTATCAGAGTTGTGCAAAACAACACAGTGAAGCTGTGCGTGCAGCAACGCGTTACTCACAGAGAAGACCAGCTTCCTGGCAGCCAGTGCAGGGAAATTGGCTATGTGTGCTCCTCTGGTGCACTGAGCTTGGCACAGGGAAAGGTAGCCACACAGAAG